TTTCTTTGCACTGGAAACCTGTTTTTCAGACTTGCGAGCCAAACTCTCCACAGCAAACCATTTGTTTGTTTTTGTTTTTCTTTTCTTTATGTGATAAGACCAGTTAATTTGGGGCTGAGCCTGATGTGCTTTTGGTTGTGGTGTTATGGCTGTGCTCGGTTCCTACTGATAATGAAAATCAATGGGAAGTCTATGGCCGTTTGTGACTTGTGCTTCTGAAAATATCCCATTCCAGTTTTTTAAGATCTTGAATAAACGGTATTATCTGATGAAGGTCTGAGATATTTTCGTTAATAACTACTAACTGTTACGAGTAACTAGTAATTAAGTAGTAACTAGTTTCTGTTATCCCTGTTAATAAATTGGTCCAGTGTAATTTTGTGCATCCTCACTGCAATTTAGGAATAATAATAATAATATAGAAATGTGAAACAAAATCAATAGGGCAAAAAAAGGAGGAGTGTGGAAAAAGTGAGTATGAGGTGTATTTTTATATGGCAAATACCTGATAATTGTAACTTTTTTAACATGGTTTAACTGAGCCACTGTCATAGATGTGATTAAAGTGTGAAAGCAGAATTTTAGGCATGTTCAGACTTAAAATGCCTGCACTAGTATGTAGTGAAGGTCACACTGCCCTTCTGCCTCATTGGTGTGTCTGGCCCCTTGTGGCTGCAGAAGGACCCAATTAGGACAGTCTAAAAGAAGTGTCTGCAAGTGTTTTACCTGAATGAGGGCTTTTATCTTTGTTTGCATTGCCAAATTATTGTTCTTATTTTTTATTTAGGGGAAGGGTGATAATGTATCCTAGCAGTTCTGGTCTATGTACAGACAAAAAGTGATGCAATTTTTAAAGGTAGACAGTAATGCTTTGCAGACAAGACCACGTTATCTGCAGTCTCTAGTCTCATTCTCTTTTTAGGAGTTTTCTGTGAACTCACTAGGAATTCACCCCTCAGCTTTCTAGCAATTTACCGCCTACTTTCTAGGAAACCTCACCTTCTGCTTTCTAGGAATGTTTCTCCACTGCTTTCTAGGAGTATTCCCCTTTCTAGGTATTTTCCATGTGCTTTCTAGGATTTCCCCCTTTGCTTTTTAGGAAATCCCCTTCCACTCTCTGGGATTTTCTCTCTGTCCTTTCTAGGAATTTACCTTGCATAATTTAGGAAATTTTCCATGTGTATTCTAGTTTTTTGCTCTCTGCTTTCTAGGAATTGGCTCATCTGCTTTTTAGGATTCTTTTCCCCTCTTCTGCTTTCTAGGGATTCCCCCTCTGTTTTCTAGGGATTGTCTTTGCATTTTCCAGATATGTTCTCCTTGCTTTCTAGGAATTCCCCCTCTGCTAAGATGTTTTCTGTCTATTTTCCAGGAATTCCCCCTATTCTTTCTAGGAATTCATTACATGCTTTCTAAGAAATCTCCTTCACTTTCCGAGATTCTCCTGCTGCTTTTTAAGAACGTGATCCATTCTACTTCTTCATGTGACTGAATATTACAGTATTTTCGTTTAAACTGAAGATAAAAACATATTCCTGTATTAGCGAGCTGTATCTTGAACTCCAACTTAACAGTCTTTTTTTTTTTTTTTAGAGAAGAATTTGTCTGCTTTTTAAGGAATTTGCTAATTTGGAGAAGAAAATTACAGGCTGTTAAGAAAACTGACTAGTTAATAGTGGAGAAATACTGATGTATATTCTCTACAAGACTTACATTTTGGAACATTTTGGAAAATGTTTTTTTTTAGATTTCTATACTAGTAAATCTCTCCAGTCCTTGTGAATGGTTATGTGTAAGTTTATTAACCAATAGGATCACCGTTTTTTATTTTAGCATTGAGCGCTTTTATTTTGAGCCTCCATTTTTTTTACAAGAGGCTATTACTAGTTCTAATTTTTCTTTCTAAAGAATCAGATTTTCTGAAAACCTACATAACATGAAAATATTTTCTCCAATTTAATAGAGCATTTTGGAGTGAGCTTTGTATAGGCAGAGGCTGTCATCTCGCTTTTGTATGCATACTTTGTCAACGACAGTGAAATCCTGGCCCTGCCTTTGTGTGTCCTAGATCTTGCTCTTTTGTAAGTAAAATTGCAGGAGTCTACTTCATAGCTCTTGCAGTGCGTGTCTTCTATTCAAGTGATTTTTCATATATTAATATTTTACAACGTTAAGTGTGGTAAACTGCATTATCTTAGTTTAACAGATAAAGCAAATTGTAGCAGGAGGGTGATATGTAACTTCTCAAATCCCAAAGAAGGTGTTAGGTTTGAGAGAAAATTTAATTTTTGACTCAGTTTAAAAGCAGGTGTGCCAAAGTAGAAATGAGTAATCAGTAAGGTTTAAAACCTAGCATTCTTTTTTTTTTTTAATCAAGTTTGAGTATTGTACATGCTAAAAATCATAGTGGAATTGAAATAAAAGACGATCCAGGTTGTTAGATTGTGACATATGGGCCAAGTATCTGCTACCTTTCAGCACCAGAAGGTTGAACGTTGGAATTCCTTGTGTGTGAACGTTTTTTATTCACGAAGCTGCTAATGTATCTGCCTTGACCAGTAACAACTGAATACATCCATGTGAGCTCGCGCTCCTCTTGCATCCCTCACCATCGCAACTTTGATCAAAAGCATAAAAGAATGCTTTTGGGCTGTGAAGGAAAAATAACTTCAAATTGGTTTTTGATCACATTGTTAATTTGCCGTGGAAAAAGAAAGCAAAAAAACATTTCCTCTGTTTGCTATTTTCTTGTTTGTGTCACATGCGTGTTATATTGTCCCTGTTGTTAAAAACAGGTATATATTTATCTGATTCTCCTGTACAGCTTTTTAGTTGTAAGAACTGTGCGTTTGTCATTGTTATTTAGTTAAAGTGGTTAAGGCAGAGAATTCACTGTTTGAGCATATTAGACTTTGGATATTTATTACCAGTACTGTGTATTCTTGCGGTACGATGCTGTACAGCAGGTTTTTTTTTCTGCCCATAAAGCTTTCTGTCATGCTGTCTGTTCGTTCTTTAATTAGTTATTAAATCTGTTGTTATGATTCCTAGTTTAAGTGATTAATAAAACGTTGCAAAATACTGTGTTAGATGCGTGCAGATGTCGGCGTAGGGTTTGCCCGATGTCGTGACCTGTTCTACTGCTACCGTAAGGTATCACATGACTCTCAGAACATGATTCAAGTGTAAAGAAGAAGTTGTCTCAAGGAGAAGCCAATATCGGATCACTTTGATTTTTACTCTTGGCAGTATTTTGATTTAAAGCAGCTGTAGGTGCCTTTTTTTTTTTTTTTAAGCTATGCTTTTAAAAAAACATTTCTACTACTTACTTCTGGCTAGACAGAAGGGTTCACAAAGATTTTCTGAAAAAGTAGTCCCTCCTTTTTTGGCTAGTCTTGCTGATAATATTAAGAAAGGTTTACTGATTGGTCAACAGAAGGTTTTACTCTGTCAGCACCGTTTCTTAGGGCGTAAAAACTTAGTCCAGAAACAAAACATAAAAGAAATTTAGAATATATTCAAGAGAACAAAAATATATCTACATATCATTAAGCTCATCTTTTCTTTGGGCTAGTCATCACGTCTCTTTTCTGGTAAGTTTCAGAGGATCAAAGATTGTAACAGTTTTATCATATTATGGTTAAAAATTTCTTAGATGGTGGGAATAAGAGTACTAATATTGTCAGAGACTTATATATGGAAATAGGGTATTAATCACATTTCATTTAAATTGCAGAATGTAGGATATCTAATGAGATTAGAAACTCTCTCTCATTACAAAAGCAGTATATCAAAAAAGAACATACTCTTAAGTATTTCTTGCCCACATGTAAGGATTTTATATTATTGTTTACTAAATAAGCCATCTGTCATTCAGAAAGAAAAGACTGAGATCTGAGAAGTGAGAGGGTAGGAAAGAACTGAAGACTTAAAGATATACAGATGGCGTTATCTGAGCTTTTCTCTGAGGTGCATAAGTGGTAATGGAGCGGAGGATATATTGTAGACTGCATACTGGAAATTGGGTCCTTGCTTTCTGCAGAAACACAGGCTGTACACTCTCAACTTAAGGCAATCTTTTCCATTTTCTTGAAATTTACATCCTTCTTTTAGCTCATTCATCTCTGTCAGTCTCTAAAATGCCATCTCCCTTATAATCTTCAGCATTTTAAACCCCAAATTGCCTGAGGCAAGGGATGCTTCATTTCATAACTGTTGGCATTTCTCTGGGCAGGGCAGCAGCTCCTCAGCTGCTTCAGCATGAGGAGTAAGAGCTCCGTATTTGATGACTCCAAGTGCAAGTGCTCATTTCCCTGCCCTGAAGAAAGGGAACAATTACAGGTAGTTTTCAGCCCCTCACTAGTGTTAACCCTCTGGAATACAAGAGTGTGCAGAACTCCTCTCTCTTAGTTGGACATCTTCAACTTGATGATATTCCAAGAATTAAAGGCAGCTTATAGTCCCCTAACTAATCCCCTAATACTTTCAGGTCCTCCATTGTGGAGGAATTGATCCCTGCCCTTCCTGCCTGAAAATGTGTAGGTAAACATGTCTTTTTAATGTTTTTTTTTACCCCCTTTGAGCCTTTTTGCAGCTTACTTTTTGAGAAAAGTAGATGTTGAGGAATCATGTCCAAACTAATAGCTCTCCAGTTGAATTACAGGAGTACCCAGAAATACTTGCTTTCAGTATCACCGTCTTGGCCGTATTCTTGAGTTATGTTCTCACATGGTACCAGTTAGAAGCAAAAGTTCATTTTTGTTTGACGCTCCAAATCAATAACTTGCCAGGTTTAATGAACTATTATTTATTTATTAGTTATTTAATGAACTATTTTGAAATTCTCCAAAAATGTGTTGCATCCCATTTGCTTGAAGGAAAAAATCTGTTACAGTTTTGTACTGTCAGGTGGAAAAAACACTTATTTCTGTGGCTGAATGCAACCAGTAATCTGTAAATAGACGAGCTGAAGTGTAGTTTTTGACTACATTTTCTTTTTGCAGATCTGCTGTTTAAACCAGTATGCTGTGTTACCTGAATCTATTTCCTCATCAGTGCGGCAGACAGTTGAAGTTGGGATTCGAGGCTTTTCTTCTACCAGTCCACTCACCTCTCGGGTTTTATTTTGTTTCCTCGAGCAGTGGACGTGTTCCTGCCAATCTCTGGGTTATTATTTAATTTGGACAGAGCATATTTAAGACTGAGCAGATGGCTGAAAACAGTCAAGGGAAGACCGTAACATGTTCCTTGTGCTTGGCCTCATTTCAACCAAGCAATGTCGTGGGTTTTTGCCCCCATTGCAACCAAGGTCCCGTATGTTTTGGGGGTGTGTTATCAGAGACATCTGACCAAGCAGCCAGTGACAGTACAGCCGCCCTGGATGCCTTATTGCCTCCCCTGTTGAAGGATTCTGTTTCTATGGAGGAGGTAAGCAAATTGGAATTGGACCTACCATGTTTTCCTGTTTATTTATAAGGTTTGTATTCGAGACTAGGTATTCCTTCATGATCTGTGCTTGTTAGTGCTCGTTTCTCTGTAAAATGAGGATGAGATTTCCCAATGAACTCTTTTAAGAAGTATACAATAGAGAACGGCTATGTGATTTCTCTTCCGTAGAGAGTGTTTTTCGAACTCTTGCACCTAACGGGAACTTGACCTTATTTTTGGTGGTTGTAGAAAGCACTTGTTCCCTAGATGTTCCAGAAAGCACTGACAGAGTGGTAATTAGAACAGCTGTGTAAGACACGAATTCTACAGCAGAAATATTAACTGTTTAAAACGATCTGTTCATTGGAAGATGTGTTGAACAAATTAATATATCAAACTTTTAAAAAATCTTTATTTTTGCAGACATACAGCATTATTGTTTTACTGCAAGGTGATACATTAAATGGGATGAGTTAAATAATACTCTGAAATGGTGTAGTGGTTTGTGGTGATATTCATGTGATGGTATCACATCTTAATTCTCAAGTTGTAATTCATTCAGAAGGTTTGTCTGTAAGCCCAATGTATGTTTTTACCGCTGTGTAAACTGATGAGGAAATGTGTATTCTAAAGGGCTCTTTAGTCCTGTAGGAGACCACTTAGCAATAGCCTACCATAGATTGGATTATGCTTATAGGCCGTAAAGTTATAAATTAGCCTAAGGTCTGGCTAGCTGTACAGGCAAAACTGAAAGTTAAAGAAGTAAGCGAGATTCTGTTAGATCTATGTCAGAAATAATCAGGTGATACCCAGAGGTTAGTCAGTCCCCAATTCAGTGAATACATGCTCTGTGTTTTCCGAATTTGGATTATTTGTTGACTTGAGCCCCAGGGAATTGAACTATGAGGTCATATGCCTAACAGCTTTGTTGAATAGTGTTTTAAATGCAACCAGGCTGATTGTTAGATATACTGGGAATGCACACATTCAATTCAAGTTAATGAAATTTGCAAGTTCACATCACATTTTGAAAACCAAGCTTTTGATTTAAGAGCCAGATTTTGGATGTGGTGGGCAATTTTCTCTTTTTCCTACCACCCGCTATACTCCCGATGTCTTTCAAATATGGTACTTTTCAGCTGTATGATAGTATGTAAACAGTGACACTACCCTATAGTAAAAGTAGGTGAAAAAATTTAGATTTAAAATTGATTGTCTTTGATGTCTCTGTAGTCGATTCTTATTGATATACAGAGTCTATTTTTGTATCATTCCTGCAGTGGTTACTGTGTTGATTGGAGACATAGTCATCTGGTATCATAATCTTCTCTTTAATATGATAGGCTCTAAATTTTACGGTTGGAGCCTTTAAAAGCTTTTGTTGGTGGAGTTTGTAATATATCTACATCTGAAAAGAGTAAATTGAAAAAAGCACTTAAACTGAAATTTCAGACTAAAATCCACCATTTGGAATATTAACATAAATGGGTCCCTTTTCGGATAGCATTTCTAAGTACGTGGATACAAAGTAACTACCATCCTGAATTAGTAATATCTGAATATACAACCGATTATTTAGTTTTATATGTTAAATGAAAAATGTGGCTAATAGGAGAATGGAGTAAGAAAAGTCTTAACAAAGAAGTTAGAGACATACAGATATTTGTCGCTACTGCAAGAGAAGTAACAGATTTTATTGAATAATCATCCCTGTTAATCCTAGGAATTGAACGTGTAGTAGTAGCTTTCTAGTTGGTTATTTGGCTGCTGGTGTCTGAACAGTACCCACTTCTAGATCTAATTGGAGTTGTATGGAAATGTGTGAGGAAATTAGATTAAAATGGCACTCTATTTTGTAAAAAAATAAATAAATTAATAAATAGAACACTTATGTTCAGTATTACGTTCATGGAACACTAGTTTATTAAGAACAATTTTTAATCTGCAAATCCTCAACATACAGACGCAGTTTGTGACTTCCCGTAGGCATCACAGAAGCTTATTTTTTGTTCTGTTTGTCATTAGCACTTAACATACTGTCTCTCTAAACTCACTATCTTTGAATTCCAGCAGAGTCGTTATCCTAAGTTGACTAGAGAAGTCAGTGGGTATTTGTTTGGCAGTGGATAAGACAAGCATTTTTCAGTATTTGATTTCCATCCTCTTCAGATTATTCCATCACCTACTGCAATTTAAGAATTTACTTCTCCCTCCTATTCCCTTCACAACCTTGTTAGTACCTCTGCCAAAGGGGAAGTGTCATGTTTAGCAAAACATTTGGATAATGTAATAAATGTAATACAGTTTTGGATACCTAAATATATGCTTAGCTTTAAGTAAGTTAATAATACAGTTGACACTACTCACGTTTCTCAGTTTGTTTGTAAATGTTCTGCTCTTTGGAGCATTTAAAAACTGCAATTAAAATTTTTACATTAGTTTTAAATGGGTTTTATTGGTGTTCTCTGTACTCAGCCATTCCAGAAAGTGATTTATAGTAACTGAAAAATGAAATTTCTAGGAATTTAAGTGTCCTGATTTCTTGTACATATCTTTTGAGGAAAACTTAACAATGTAGGATAGAACTGGCTCTATGCTATTAAAATTGAACGTGGACTATTTTTAAAATATATTGGCAACACTTTTAACATATTGGTTGAATTAGCTTTATAGAAATCTGCAGCACTGACAAATGTAATTATTGGCCTTAAATAAGTCACTTCATTTCTAATTCATTCTGTGACCAAGTCATTTCATTTGGCCACCAAGGTAGAATATGGACCACTGAATAGAGACAGCAAAGCTCTCCAAAAGATTTAAAAAATATTATTGTTTTTTGCAGATTTCTTTATTTATTTATTTTATCTTCCACAGCTTTCTGTTTGTCTTGGGCTTACATGAAATTAGCTAATTAATTAAAAAACATTTTTTACATCTTGTCCCATGTTTAGCCTGCGCGATTATATGTTACATATCTTACTGTGGATTGGATTTTGATGCATCTGAAACAATGTAAGGATTTTTGAAGTGGTCATTTTAATAGTGCTTCCTTTTTCCATAAAGATGCCAAAATTGGAGCTGAGAGAACCTTACAGAAAAATTTTCACGCAGTCAACTCGCAGCCGTAGTGCAGAAGTCAAAATTCCTCATACCCGAATAAGTGATGGAGCTGCTATTCAGGTATGTACAATTCCTGGCTGCAATAGATACTAATGGATTGTGGGCTTAGTTGTTCCTCCTGAGTGTGGGCTCCCCCATCGGAGTTTCTAGGCTGACAAAAGTCCTTGGCAAATAGCTGAATACCTGACGCACCCTCAGTCCACCCAAGCCTAAAAACTTCTTGATAGAAAAAGACGATAAATTCAGGAGAATGAAGTGGTAGCCCTAGTATGGGCTAGGAGGGTGTTTGTATGGTTTCCGTCAAGGTAAATTCCTAGCAAGCAAAGAGGATTTTCCTGGATAGCACTGGGAGAAGTCCTTAAAAAGCAAAAGGAGAGGATTTCTGGAAGGCAGAAAGCAGATTTCCTGGAAAGCAGAGGTTTGGAGGGGAGGGGGAGGAGTTTCCTGCAACGTGGACTATTTTCTACAAAGCAGACGGAAGGAATTCCTAGGAAGTAGCAGGGGAAATGGCTAAAAAGGAAAAGGAGATTTCCTAAAAAGCATGTGAGAAATTCCTGGAAGGCAAAGGGAGGATTCCTGGAAAACACATGAGAAATTTTCTAGAAAGCAAAGGGGAGAATGTGTGGAAAGTACATGGAAAATTCCAGAAAGTAAAAGTGGGGTGTCCTAGATAGCACATAGGGAATTTGTAGAAAGCAAAGAGGAAATTCCAGAAAAGCAGAGGTAGGATTTCCTAGAACCCATGTGGACAATTCCTAGAAAGCACATGGGGAAATTGCTGGAGAGCAAAGCGGGGAGTGCCGAGAAAGTTAGGCTCTGGAAAGCATAGTGGGAAGTTTTGGAAAGCACATGGGATAATTTCCTAGAAAGCAGAAGGGGCAGTTTCCAGAAAGCACGTATGAAATCCTTTAAAGCAGAGAGGTGAAATCTCCTATAAATGAGGAGGAATTCCTAGAAAGCTAAGGGCGTATTCTTGCAAAACACAGGGAGAGTTCCTTGAAAGGACTGCTGTAATCCCGACAAGTTGTTGTAGTCACAGTAGGGCTGATGTTACAGCCGCAGGGACGATGGGGCCGAGGGAACGCGACACGGGTATTCACTGCAGGTCGAGGCAATGGCGACGGGGTGTTATTGTGACACTGGGGAGGTGGTTGCAACATAACTTTGTCCACATTAACTCTCCCTGTCAGGGTGATGTAACTGGACGTGGTGAGGTGCTCCCGGTGGGTGAGGAAACTGAGATGGGTCAGGTAATGGAGCAGGGAGTTCCAGGTAACGCTGGCAGGGGTCTAGGGACCAGCGGCAGGGTCTTGCAGCAATTCCTGTCAGCACTGAATTGTGGTGGACATGCTCTGTGTACAGGCGTTTGCAGAGCACAGAGAAGCAAACTTCAGTCTTATCACAAATTAGGACGTACAAGTATTTTGTTTCAGAAGTCATGTTTATACTCATGTTGCTCTCCTAAATCTAAGCTGTCACTGTCTGTGCTAGCAATTTCTTTATACACTGACCATGTTCTTAATATTTCAAAATTACATCTTACCTGTTATCTCTTTGGGACTGTGGTTTTACACAGTATAACAGTACAATTACAGTTCATGGTACTTTGGAAGGTCAGACAGAAAATTCGTACTGAACTCTACCAATTGCTGGTCTTAAAATAAGCATGCATGAAGGCTGGAACAAATATTCAGCATAAAAACCTGTCAGTATTTTCACTGGAAGATCAGACTGCTTCTCTCCTACTACAGACATGTTTTGAACATTTAATCGGAAAGTTTAGTTGTATAAGCTATAAGTTCTTGGCTAATAAATATAATATGTTAAAACTTTTTTTCTAAAGCTGCACTTTTTTATGTTTCTCTGCTTCTTTAGGAAATCTATTCTTTTGGAAGGAAACTAGGACAAGGCAGCTTTGGGGTGGTAATTGAAGTGAAACACAAAGACACTGGAAAAAAATGGGCCATTAAAAAAGTGAACAGGAAAAAGGTAAATATCATATGGATGGGTGATTTATTTTAAAATCTCCCTTTGCTTTCTCAGGATCTGATAATTCTTTTTTTCTAATCTCTTTTTGAGCACTATGATGTCATTACATCCAGAATTTCTCTTTTGACCTATGTAGATATTTATTCTCATTTTTCAGATACTACTCTAACTATGTCTTCATCATTCCCCTGTAGCAGAAACTAGAAGCGATACCGATTTTTAAAATGCTCAAAGTATTTAGTCTGACCATGTAAGTTAGGGCTCTTATTTCTTCATGAAAGAATAATTGAAAAGAAGTTTGCAAGTTAGCTTCCGAACTAACCAAATATGATCAAAGAATAAATTTAAGTGGCAGGTTTTTATTTTGTAAATTTTTCTTTTATTTTTTAAAAAAACAATTAAGGGATAAATCAGGAAAATGAAACTTTGAGATCAGAAGTCAGCATGAACACAGTGGTATAACTTTATGCTTAATATTTTATGCATGCATGATGAATCCTGAAACTGGCTCTTTACCAGATGAACAATTCAGATATGTTATTTTGCTACTCCTGATAATTTAAAATTTTCAAACTGTTAAATTCAAAATAATAAATTCTTTTAAATTTTGGTTTCTTAACCAAGTTAGAAAAATGCTGTACTTCAGTCTCTGTCATCACATGACAGCCGTGGTAATGCTGGGTCTGACTATGTTTAAATGGGATCCTGTCATGAAGGGTAGATTAAATTCTTTCATCTCATTGATACCAAACCAAATCCATCATGTTCTTGATGGGTACAGGAATGCTTGGTGTTCTGTAAAATAATTTTCTTGCTCATTTGTACTTGTTTATATATTCATGAGATTATGGATTATGGAGTATCAGCTCCACTGAGCCGGCCCGCTTCCAATATGAATAATTACATTTTGTTTAACTCCACTGCCCCACCATCTTATTTTTTGTTGGGTTTAAATGCACCTTAAACATCAGCTATTCTTTATTTAAGTAAAGTCATTCTCGTTTTTGTTTCATATGCACGTCGTTCATCTGGGTAGTGAGAAAATGCTTGTGGTTTTCTGCATAGATGTTCTTTCAGCCTAAAGGCTTTCAAGATGTTTCACAGAACTGTGTATTTGAAGCTGTAAGATGTTAAAGGCCAAATTTACTGGATTAACGCAAGCGATCCTGAAATACAGTAGGAATTACTTTGTAGTTATGTTTTTAAATACAGTTGGTTTTTTTTAAAATGCATCCTGTCCCTTTTTTAAAAAGAGATTGCCGTTGTTTAGAAATGAATACTGTGATGTCTGTAAAATGTATTTCCCATAAATAACTAAGGCTGGAAGCTCTGCTATGAAGTTACTTGAACGGGAGGTGAGCATCTTAAAAAGAGTGAACCATGACCATATAATACACTTAGAAGAGGTGTTTGAGACACCAAAGGTAAGATTGCATTAATTGCAACAGCTAGTATTAGTACCAATCAAACGAAAAATAAAAAGATCTCTGTTCTCATGATATGTCGTGTTTAACGATATTGTCATACGGGACAAAGTTTCTTACAACTCTTGACCAAAAGATTGTGGAAATGCTTATATTTTATTTTCCATTAAGTTCCTTCTAAGCCACTGTTGCCAGAAATTTAAACTAACAGTTGAACAGAGGACAAAACAGTTTATGTCAAGGGAAATACCTGGCTAAGCTTGCTTTGTGTGCGAGTCTGATAGGCAGAAACAGTTACTGTAGCTTAGGCTTTTATTTCTTCCTTCTTTGAATTCTCAACTTAGTTTTTTCTTCTGTTCTTTCAGAACAATTTTAACAATAATTAAATACTGTTACAGTGAGAATTACATGTTTTTTTCTTTACTCTGCTTGCTTGTATAAGCTTGTATAAGGAAGTGACCCTCTTGTGTGTCCCTAGGAGAAACATCAATCGAGAGCCAGAGTTTCCATTTTTTATTTGCCTGTTATTTCAGAAATAATTAGCCAAAGAATGATGGAAATGTTGTTTTTGAGATTAAATCATTCCTATTTTGTCTGTCACATACCATGCCATTGTTTGAAAAGGTGTTATTGCCGAGTTGAATGGAGGAGATCTCAGGACATTATAATGATTTCACCATATGATAAATATTGCATTAGCACATGTAAACTAATATTTGTTGTTAGTTGTAGCATATGTTTTATCTTGGAGTACTGAATTGATCGGAAGTCATCTGTATAGCATATTGTAGTTTTTATTCCCAGTTGCTGAGAAGTTGCATTTTATCTTTTTAAACATTGGTACTTTCTTAGGGTTTCTGTGAAAGATGTTGATAATACATTGAATGGAAACAGTTTTATGCTAAATCTGTATTCATCCATATCTTGAAATCTAAAGTATTTTTATACATTTTTAAAATGTATATATTTTGAAACCCTGAGAGTTTGTTGCATTACTGTAAACATTGATAATATTTGGGGCAGGGTAATTGTCTTTTGCTTTGTGTTCATAGAATGCTCAGTGCATTGTGGTTCTGAGTCATCACTGCATCTAGAGCGCTGCAATTATATATGTTGTTATTACCTGAAAAGAAATACTAAACTCAGAAATGAGAAAATCATTGCTTTGTCTCTTTATTAACATTAGCGGGTGTATCTTGTAATGGAGCTGTGTGAGGATGGAGAACTTAAAAAAATTCTTCATAGTAAAGGACACTTTACAGAAAATGAGACAAGGCACATCATTCAGAGTCTTGCTTCAGCAATAGCGTATCTTCACAAAAAAGGTAATTAAATTCCTCCGTCTGTCCCCTATGTTCATCAATGTCAAGTTCAACAACAGGTTCAGATTACTGTTCTTATCTACTACTTATTCCATAGTGTAAAGCTATTCCAGTAGAAAAGGAGTAAAATATACTACAGGAATGCTTTTTAAAAACTTTATTTTTCTTATAATTGTAATAACTGCTACCGTTTTCTTTGATTTCTCTTTCTGAGCCAGCTATTGGGTAGTAATGTGTATTATTATTTCTTAGCGTGTAACTGCTTTGCGTTATAAGATTAACGTATTTTAGTAGTTAAGTATATAGTCTATTGCAGAAGGGGAAAAAAAGGAGAAGTGGAGGGCTTTTGATGCTTTTTAGTAGCCTGTCTTGCATTTAGGATTCAGTAAACTTAAACATTTTTATCCACCACAGGGAAGTACTACAATTATGCACAATCCATAACAGAATTAACCTGTTCGTCCAAAAATTTAAGAGTTGTCATATATTGAAGGATTGTGAATACTTCTAGACTTTTTTCTACAGAAATTATTCATCTCCAAAAATTTAAGAGTTGTCATATATTGAAGGATTGTGAATACTTCTAGACTTTTTTCTACAGAAATTATTCATCTCTGTATTTCAGCATGCCACTTGTAGGAATCCTTCATTTACCTTTTTTCCCATACAGATGGAGGGTTCCTTGTATATGGAGTGATGCCTTGTTTAGGGCTCTCTCTGTTCTTTGTAGGTGTTGAAAGGGCAAAAGCACCTAGTGCTTTGGAATATGAAAATAAATTGTGGTTATGAAAATACATGCAAATTTGATAAGCATACAACATAAAGCCTACTTCTTGTTAGATGTTGGCTAATCAACTGATATTTAAGACTGAAGCAATATGAACTTTTCCCCTTTATTCCAGGGTACAAATCTGATCCAGATTTGAATATCTGTATGACTCCCTGGCTGTAATGGGAACGATGCTTTTCTTTCGGTTTCCAGTAGTTCAGAGTAAAATATGCTAGAATTGCTCAAAGAAATTATTCAGTCAAAAGAGTTTAAAACATTTCTGTCAGAATACGTTCACTGCAATTGATAACATTTTATTTCTTATTCTTTCTTGGCAGATATTGTTCACAGAGATCTAAAACTGGAAAACATTTTAGTTAAAAGCAGTGACATCGATGAAGCAAATGAAATGAAATTAAACATAAAGGTAAGACTGCAATTGCAGCAGTTCTGCTTCTAGCACTGGTTTTAATATCCAGGTATTACTGGGAGACCTGACTTTGATACCTATTAGCAGCTTTTGAAGTGAGCTACTAAATGCTGTTATTAGGGGAAAAAATCATTTTGGAAGCTAAGTGCCACTGTTAAAAAACACTTTCTCTGTAAAATGATAAAAGAATATTTCTAGGTCAATTAAAAAAAAAAGAGATAACCATACCTTATTCCTCTAGATCTGCATTAGGATAGTTCCAAGCCATTAGTTACAGTAAGTCAAGCAGGAACTCTAAGATGTAATTAATTTTGAAATTGTCCATATTGACAATGTAATCTAAATCTGTTAGTAGTTTAGAAAAAAAGTCTATTTAAATTGTGCTGTTGATTGAAATACAAAATATATTACAGGAATTTTGGGATATTAATAAATATTTACTACCCAAACGCAGTATGCCATGTGCTTACACCTTATTTTCATTGAAAGAAGTGGTTCTTGATGCTTAATAAATCATATGATAATTATCTGATACTGACTTAAAATTTTAGTAGTTGTGAAAATGTATGCATCTTTTAAAATAACCATGTCGAACTGAGTTACTGGATTGTGGATCTACTATATTAGGTGCACGTTGAGAAGTGTTTTAGCCACCAAAGAGTATGGACAACTCACTAATTCATGGTGGAAGAATTCCAGGGTACAGAATCCAGTTTACTATGTATCTTAGAGCTTATATATTTTTACATAATTTTATATTCATTTTGAGAAGCATAACATTCCAGATTGTTTCCAGATTGTCCTTCAGTTTGAGGCAGTTTGTACCTTTCTTCCTGCAAATGCTGGAGGTAGTGAAGGCATTGATATAAATCTGGTTTGTCAGCAGGCTTTCCATCATTATACTCAGTATACCACTTCCATCAATGCAAACAGCCTCGGCTAGCAGTTACTCTTGTTTCATGGTCTTACTTTGTATATCCATTTGGAACAGCAACTATCAAAATCTGTCATTTCTCCTTTCTTCATCGTGGTTTTACTTGTTCTCCGTATGGCTGAATAATTCTAGGAGAAGAAGCTGAAAGCCAGGGAGAAGACCCCAAAGCTAGTATGGCTAGTAGCAGTGGAAGTGGCTGCAGGAAGGGGAAGGTCCGTCTCACATCATGAAATGGGTAAACAGCAGAGAACTACATTTGTTTCCTACCTAGGTCCAGAGTTTTCAGGTTTGAGACAGCTAATGTTAAACATAAGGCCAAGGTTCGTACTCTTCTGGTTTTGGCTGTGAGATAGAATCCAGAATCTTTATGATTCTCTCTTTTTTGGCCAGGAGGTGCAGGGAGAATTGTAAGTGAAGCTCAGACCCTTCTCTTGGTGAAAGAAGAGACGTTCTTCCATATATGACATGTCAGTACATGGCAAAGGTGCATATTAGCATGGAGTTTAGAGGGAATTTTGATTGTAAGTGTAGACAGACCTTTGGTTTCATCCCACCTGCAGATATCACGACATTCCAAGTTCAGAGATACTGACAGCTTCAGATGCAGGTATTCTCTCACAGACTTTGAGATGGAAAGTACGAAAGTGTAATGAAGAAACTGGATTCTACGTAAAAACATTGCACCTGAAGGTGTTACTATCAAGATAAAATGCTACCTATCCATAAAAATGCAACATTTCTTTACATCCTTTGAAATACTCTCCCACGTGAGGGGTGAAGTCAAAGCCCAAGGGATAAGTCCTCATTGCTTCCAGTTTTTTGCAGGAGAAAAGGCACAGTCTAAGTATTTTCTTATCAGGAATGATGACTCCCAGAAAGGGAACAGTCAGAAATCTGGATTTCCATCAGTGAATATGTGGAGTATTATGTCTGAATGTAAGATGCTGTGAATGATCGTTTTTCTCGGTTTGAATATAAGGGCTCCTCATGGTTTTGGTACATGGGATGAGATGGGGAAGGAGGAAGTGGGGTTAGGTCATGACAGCCAGTTCTGGGACAGCCAAACTGCCTGCAGGTGGGTACAAGAGAAAGTTGCTAAACTCCTCTGCCCTCCTTTTTTTTCTGGTAACAAAAAAAGTGCAATTGTTCTCTGGAATGCAGAAAAACTAAATCTTGACCAGACCCTCATTTACCTTATCATTCAAATTTTATAGCCTTTTCCTTTTGGTTGCATGTTGGTGTTGCCTCTGGTGTCTGATTCAGACCAGTAGAACAACACACAGAAAATTTCCTCCAGCAGGTGAAGTTTTCCTTTTTCATCCTCTTTTCCTTAAAGACCAGCTTGAGAGATGGGGGAATCCATGTCAGCCTGATGGATAAGTACAAATACCTTCATACAATACAAAACATGAGATGCACATTTCAGTGGACCAGAGCTGCTGACCCACTGACCCTGAAATGCTGCTGTGAGGAAGGAGGAGGGAATTCTTTCGCTTAGTTGGGTTTGGACCCTTGCCAAGCATCAGCTCCCTTTTGGGTGGGGACCGTGGAGGCATGTTTTCAGCCATTTGTCTTTCCTGCTGCTATTTGTCTCTGCTGCTGTGAGGAAGGACTGGATCCAGGGACTATAGTCCTAGGTTGAAGTGTTGCCCATATTCTTTTGACTGTCTAGGTTTTATTTAGGTTCTTAGCAAGCAGTACTCTGATTTATCAGCAACTTGGTTTTATTTCTCTTGATCTTCTAACTTCTGGCTCTGTCCCTGCTTGCTCACAGCCATATAGCGTCTCCACCATTAGTATGTTTTTGGGGGGAATTTCGACCTGCTTTATTCACAGGAGAATGTAAAATGATACTTGGGATTTGCCCTGTGTCCTTGGAGGACACTTAGTTGAATGTGAATTTGAATGTCAAGGAAAAAAAAGTTACAGAAAAAAATGCTTAAACAGTGGAAAAGATTGCCCAGAAAAGTAATTTCAGGACAAATATTGGTGGTGTTTCTGAAAGACTGGGGGAAGGAGAGAGACGAAAGATCATTATATGAAAATCTCACTTCTACTAATTTTTCTCTGACTTCATTTTCACTACGAACAGTGAGTTCTGAACTGAACAAAACTAAAAAATTCCATCTTTACTGATAGTTTTAATACTGTATTTTTTCTACTAGGTGACTGACTTTGGTTTAGCTGTGCAAAAGGCTGGTGGTAGTGTGTTTCAGTCGATCTGTGGGACTCCTATATACATGGGTAAGTTCAGAGCTTCATAGTGTTTAAGTGCTACTGCTTGCTAGATCTTTCTAGATCGCAAAGTCATAGATATCTCCCTCTCCTCTTCCTCCCCTGGCCTCTTCCTCTTCTCACAGGAACTGTCATACTAGCGTAAAACTGCCAGTATTTCTAATCACATATGATTTCTCTGAGGTCCAGAGCTTCATAAAAAGGTGCAGCTATAACTAGTAACAACCTTTTAGTGGGGTTCATCAGTTCTTATGGAGCTGCTGTGGAATAAATTTCCCATCGTTATAAGGATTTACATTTCATCTGCATTTTGCTTTACAAAAATGTGAATGTTCATAGTATGTTTGTGATGTACCCATTACGCTAAGTTCTCAGCTTCTATGTAGCAATGATTCCACAGATTAACACTTTGTTCCCAGTGTAATGCAACTCCTGGATCTCTGACACACTGTTCTCATAGATTCGTTTTCTTTCTCTCTTTCTCTCTCTCTCTGACTGGTGGAGATCTCACTACAGATTTTTGACAATGAGTATTGTCATCTCTGATGAAGAAGGACACTAAGGGATGGCTCCCACTAGGTTCAAGAAGCTGAATGGGAGAGAGAGAGAGAGAACAGAGAGAGAGAAGTTCAGCCAGGGTTCTTGTCTGGAGTTCTACTCTGAGAGAAAAGGAAGCTGGGGTGCGTGCCTTGCAACCTGTGATTTAGTCCTTCAGAAAAATGTCATCTCCTCAGCTCTTTGTAGCTTTTGTGGAATGGATGTGGAAACCACATATATTTCAACCTCCAGAATTTCTGTTTGGATGATACCTCTATCAAACACCATTATGGGATGACCTTCCTTGGGAAGTAACTGTGTTTCATTCTGCTGTTATTCATTGGCTTTCGTATTTCTTTTGAGGCTATATAGAGCAGCTGCATAGATCTTTTACATCACTTCTCAGGGATGGGTAATGAGTAGCTCTTATTTTGATAAGGCTTCTTTTAATAATCATGGGCATTATTGTTTAAATCCATTGGTTCAGCAAACTGGAGTGTAGATAAATGAGCCTTTGAGGAAAAGAAACAATGATTTATTTTGAATAAACTTTACGTGTGTTTGTCTATACGTGTTCCTTCTTTCTATTGCTGTTCTTGCTTCTTCATTGTTTAAGGAACTGAACAGTACTTAAAATGGCCCCATCCTGTATGTCCTCTTTGGAGGTTCATGGAGACATAAAGCCCAGACGAAGCTGACAGCAGGCGCTACTGCCCAAAGAATCTGGACACAAGCGCATGTGATTTTTGCAAATGTACCATTAGTGGCCAGAAGGGATCAGAGATTCAAACCGCCATTTTTTATTGTAAGGTAAATACTTCTCAAACTCCCTTCTGCACAAGGGAGATGGAGTGACTCCGTACTTCTCAGCTATGCCTAGGAAGAGACATGTTAACTGTTGCGCACTGGCTGAGGACTGCTGCTGCTGCTCACCACTTGGGACAGCCAATTGAGGGGATCCTCTCATTCCACTCACCATCTGGTTCTTAAAGGAAATGAGCATGGGAATCCCTACAGTAAGCACAAACAGCAATTCCAGCTTACTGTACTACTTCAGAGTGCAACTAGAGTCACATGCTGTATCATGGAAGGATTGACTTTGTTACTGATAACTGCAGGCTCCATGAAGTTAACTCTGTGGCTACTACTAAAGGAGGAAAGCAACAGTTAACCAAGATTGGACCAGATCTTCTGCGTTGCTATAGAGGAGTCTGAGTTCATATTGTTTTGTTGATCCTGATGCTATTGCCTGATGATGCTGTGCTGTTCGTTGATGATGATAAGTCAGGCACTTGTTTTCTACCATATTTTTTCTTTCTGCTCCTTTAGCCCATCAGGTACTCTATAAAAATCTCTTAGGTAACATGCAGAACTGATTTCTTCTTATTCTGTCATGGGCTTTATCATATCCACCACACAGAAAACCCTCTCTTCACCTTTCCATTCTTCATGTTGTTGTCTTCAAACTGACTCAGTCTGCCTTATGTTATCACTAAGTTAAGTTCAATGCAGATTCCACGTTCCTTTGTTACAAGGTCAGCTTTTTCTCTGTTGCGCATTTTCCAATTTACTTGGCCAGGTGTTTTTGAGGCCTGCAGGGCTGTCTGAATCACAGTGCCTCCCACTGGTTGTATAAATTACCTTTGTAACTTCTGAGGTGCTGCAGAAGCTTTCAGGAGTTTCTGTCTATACAACTGGATTAAGTTTTAAAACAGTTTTTCTTAGAAAATTTCCATCGGAGCACTCTGTGTACTCTCTTAACACTGACTATCATCTGATGTTCAAAAGGAAGTTGGAAAAAAACGTGAAAGTAGATAATTAAAACGTAACCTGTCCATAGGACATGTTTCTCAAAATTCCTTGTGCCTGTTGAGGCAATAAATGCTTTGCATTCTGTGCTATAAAGGTGTTTACCCCTTTCAGAGTTACAGTGCGTGATATACTAAACCCACTTCATTAACCAGTGTATCATTTCTTTTTGAATTCTACAAAGTTCTTTTCCTCAATGGTATGTACTAGCAATGCGTTTCACAGCTTGCTTATAACTGACTGAAGCAAAAAGGAAATCCTTTCTGGAGGAAGATCATTAGTCCTTCTGACATTTTGATTGATGAAATAGGAGCAGTATTAAATACTTCTTTAAGTAAGGGGGTTGCAGGGGACTAAATTACTTTCCGATTTACTAATCATGACAAACACAGAATCTTAGCACTGGAAGGGACCTTTGAGTCATTTGATTTATTTCTCTGTCCAAAGAAAGAAGCACCTGCACGTAAGTCATTTCTGACTAATATTTGTCTTAAGTGTGCTTAAAGACCTCCAGTAATGGAGAACCCATAATCTTGCCAGGTGCTCCAGTTCAGTGCTTCGTTGTCCTGCAAGAAGGTTTTCCTCATGTCTGCCCTGAAGCTTCAGTTTGATAGTCAGCTTAAACTGATACTTACAGGCTACAATCTGATGACTTCTTTCATTTTCAGTTTTCCGTTGACTCACCTGCAGTCACGCAATGGCTAAAGCTGACCTAAGGGAAGTGGTGGGAGCATATGCATGGCAATAAGGGAAAAGGTGGAATTGTGCTTTGTATTTTAAGGCTGTTTCTTGCCCTGCCTATCATGAATATGAAGAACAGGTAGCCACCTTCCTTTTTTCAGCAATCTGATATCACACTTCTCCCTTGGTCTTTTGTTCTTCGGGTTGAGCAACATGAATTTTCTGAATCCTCTCCTACATTTCTAATCTTTATTATTGATTGGCTGGCCATGCTCCATTTGGTACATGTTTTATTTAAATGGAATAGCTGAAGTTGAGCGCAGTATCTAGTTGAGGCCTTACCAGTGCTGGGTTGAGTGGAAGGATTATTTTGTATGTATTGCAGACTTATGCTTGTGAATGCATCGTCTTTTTGCAATTTCACGACTCTGCATGAAAGGCATTTGGGCTATTTAAGGACTCTGAATGCACATGAGAGAACAAGATGTGGGTGCTGGGAATCAAGCTATTTGCCTATTATTTTACCGGGCATATTTAGATAGGCTTGTAACCCAGAAGAAGGACGGAGTGTTTGCCTTTGCCTCCTCAGAAAGGGCAGGTATACCTAAGGAGGTTTTGTACCAGAGTGGCTGTTTTCTGTCACCCTGCCTCACAGAGGCATTACCAGGTCATGCTAAAACTATTAACGCGTGATCGGCATGTGATTCACAACAGTCCGTGCACTGCTGCCTAACCAGCTGTTCTCCATGTATTTGCATTCTGAACTTGCCTTTCAATATACTTGCAGTCATTCCTGGCTTGATGTTGTCTTCAGATTTAATAAGCATGTTCTCTCTTGGATCATTTGGGTCATCAATTGTAATAGTATCATGCCTAGGACAGACACCTACAAAACATCCCTTGATGCAGCCTTCTATTTTGACCATGAACAAGAAATAACTACTTTCTGAGAACTGTTTTTCTAACCACATGTTATATCCTGTGATGTTTTCATATAGAAAGTATTACCAAAAAAAAGTTACGTGAAACAGTATCAAAAGCCTTCCTAAAACAAGGATATATGATACTTAGTGTTCCTCCGCTAACCCTGAAGCCTGTCAACCTGTGCCACAAGGAGATTTGTTCCTGACAAGTGCACAATGGCTGTTACTTTACTCTTTGTTTTCTTCCAGGTGCTTATTATTTCAGGTATTTTCTTGAGAATTAAAATTAATAGGATGTATCTGTAGTTCTCTGATGCCACCTTTTCCACCCTGTTACAGATAGATACCATGATTGCCTGTTTCAGTCCTCCAGTATGTTTCTTGTCTTCCACAAGTTCTTGAACCAGTAATAGTTCTGAAAAGTCTTGTCAGTTTTTAAAGTACTCTAGAATTAACTTCATCAGTTACAGCTGATTTGAAAATTTCCAGCCTAAGTACTTGTAACCTTTTGCTTCTCTGTAAAAAACTGAGGTCTTGCCCCTTTGTCACTGATATTGATTGTGCTATCCCCTGCTTGCTGTTGGCATTTGGGTTGAGACTGATGCAAGAAGACATTACATACATTTGCCTCCTGAGCATCATCTATCAATATATCAATAGCTTTCGTGGCTGAATACAATACCAGTCTCTTTATTCATTGTCTTTGTACTACTCACATACTTACAGATTATTTCATTCTTAGTTATGTGCCTTGCTAGTTGCTCCATATTTTTCCTTTCAGATTTTGCCCCTCTGTGTTTGTTTTCCTTCTGTTCTTATTTCCCCCCCCTTGCATGCTCCCTTCTTATGTCTGAGGCCTATGGAGATTCATGATTTAACCAGCCTGGTTTATCAATAGATTTCCTATTTTTTTAATCCATTCTTTGATACAGTATCTTTCTGTAATTGCAAACTCCCTTTAAAAATGTGTGTATTACATACATGGACATATTGTGAGGTGTAAGTTTTGGTAGTGCAATTGCAGTAAAGTCAGTGGAATTAGATGAGCTGAGAATTTGGGCTTTCATTATATTTTTCTGGAGATCGAGCCATAGGTATTCCCCAGTTTAGTGATGATGTTTTGTGCAGGGTAAGTATTTCCCCCCTGATGTTAATAGCATGAGTTATTGCTGGTTTAAAATGTTCTCAAAACAATAGATTAAAAATGAGGTAATACTTGGATTTGTAGTTTTTGGTCAGTTTGGCAATACTGATAATAGAAATCTCCTTTAAAGTTTTGATTTACCAGTTGTGGTATTATCAAAACATTAAGTATATTTTTTAGTTCCTTGACCTAATAAATAAATGTCTGAAACATTACATAAAACGTTAAAAACTGAGATGACAGCTAACCAAACTTTTTGAGTTGGTGGGAAAACACCAAAAAAAATAGTCTCTGTCATTAATGCTTCTGTTATGGAAAGGAATTAGTTTTCTGTTTCTTCCTGGGGCAAAACATGTTATCTTCATTGAGTCTGGAAGTGAAGACAACAGATTTTGCTGTGATCTCACAATCATATTTACCATGATATAGGAGATAAAATGTCAGTGAGATGATCCCAAAGCAGCATCTTTGACATGTGACTGAAACAATATGAAGAGATTAGTGAATAGATTATAATATGTAAGTTTTTAGTCTAGAATATAAATAAATCAGTTGGACAGTTTTTATTTTGAGAGTATTTTGGCATTGATTTTTGTTCATTCTGTGATGTATTCTAGCCAATAAGTGCAAACAGAGGCTCGTGTCTTGCAAAAAATGGATATTTTCATGTACTGCACTTATTTCTGGGGAAAAGATTAAGGTCATATGATATCTTTCAGTCCTTCAAGCCAGTGTTTTATGAATGCTACTTTAATAACTTATTGTGGGGAAAACAATGCTAAGTTTAATCATACAGCTAATGTCACAATGTCACCACCCCCTTAACAGCTAAATGATAAAAGTGAGGACACATCAGCATGAATTGTTAAGGTCTGTACATTATTCATTTAAACATCTGCTGTTAGTTCCTCTTTACGTATGGGAATAAATTATACCACATCAGCACATTCTTCATGCTTTGTGTTTAAGCATTTAAAAGTTTTTTTTTGTATTATTAATATTATTTTTTCTGCTTGGTTGGCAGCCCCTGAAGTTATCAGTGCCCATGACTACAGCCAACAGTGTGACATTTGGAGCATAGGTGTCATTATGTACATGCTGTAAGTAGCTTGTAAAACTAATATAAAAAGTTCAGACCCATTTATAATACAAGTACTTACAATTTGGCATTGAAATGTAAAGTAAACCTGTGTGCCAAACCTTAACAAATGACTGTACTCTTATAATTGCTTGCATGTAAACATTGCAAATTTCTATTCAAAAGAAAGTGAAACAGACAGTTCAGTGTTAAAAGTTGAGTATGTGATTTATGAACCATTTTATAATACTGAAATAACACGGAATTATAGAATATTGCAGTGTAATGCTCTAAAACTAGACTGAGGTTAGGCCTGTCTTTTGCCTATGTTGGCTGGAGGTATGTATGGGAACTAAGTTATTGATTTACAGCTTATTGGTCAAATTCTCAAATGGATCGCACAAACCAAGCGATCGGGGTAAGGGCTTTTCTTCTGCGCCTCTGTGTGTGGCAACTCTGTCAGCTGTGATGTTCAAAGGCTGCCAGCTCTCCTCGTACTGGCTGCCTACGTCCTTTGGAAGTTAGCAAAGCCTGCTGCTATTTAGAGGAGGAAATGCAACTCTATATTTGCAGGCCTGCATACGTATTTTTATTGAAGTCTCATGGTTTGTAAGATTTGTCTTAGTTACGAAATAACAGCTCCTCTATGGAAAAATCTCATCTTGCATATGCTACCTAAATACCATATAAACATATCCCAGGGATTAAAAATAAAATGAAGCAAAGTACATAAGCACCTGTTTGTGTGATGTAGTTAAAACTGAGAATTAGATAATTAAAATGCCACATTGTGTGCAGAGGCTCTTTTCTCAAAATGTATTTGCCTGTTTTTTCCCTCTTTCAATCTTTTTCTTCTCTCAGTTGCCTCTAGATGATGCTTTGATGCAAATGTTTTAGAATGTTACCTCTTGCCATTTCATTTGTTGATATTTTTGCTGTACTATGATTATTTTACTTCTGTTATGTGCAGCCTAGTTCTTTTATAACTGAAGACTCTGTGCACAAGCATGCAGACACGAGCATGCAGTTTCATAACCTCCTTGTTTTGGTATTTTCTGTGATTTTTTTTCCCACTCTGTATTGGTTCCTCAGTTTCTTTTCTGTACAATTAGTGCATTTTTCTTGTTGTGTCAGCATGATGAAGCATTCGTAGCTTTATTGCCTTTATTTTTTTATTTCTAAAACCTATGTGTACTTTTTATGCTGATACAAAATGAGTTTTATTGTTGTACTTCATGATATTAATGTTTGCATCACAGTAGTGGGATTTGCACAACATAGTACCACAGCATACGTTATAAAAGGGGCAGTTGAAATTGGATGGTTTGACTGGCTAATAAGAAAGCTGAGCAGGGCCTGCAATCAGCACAATTCACAGCTCAGGACGTGTACAATTCAGGGCAGTGAACTGTGTTGATTGCAGCCGGAGCTCAGAACTTCTGACCTTCTTCCTTAATTAGCAATATAAATATTTTTTAAAATTAGCATTTTGTAATCACAATAGTGTCAGAACAAAGTAACATTAATTCACCCCTTGTTGTGTCTGCTACGCAAGAAGGAAAATACTGTGTGTGAATTAATAGAATACAATTCACACTGCTTTTTATTGCTTAATTTGAAAATAGTAATACAAAAGCCATAAGATTGTCTTCTGATTTTAATTCTGTTTTTGCAAATTACTTTTCTTGCTTTCTTGAATAATAGCTTGTGCTGCTGGTGCTCCTCTAATGGGCTTAAAGATGCCGTTACAGCCATTATTGCTACCATCACAACTTTGACCCTTCTAGGCTACAGTTAATGCCTCCCTACGAATTTGCTAGCTGCCAGAGCTCTTTTTGCAGTGTAGATGGCACGTTCCATCTTGGTACCAAGGGTATTATTGCCACGACAGGCTCAGTCTCCACTTATCTGGGGAGCATGAGCCCCTGAGGTGACTCATGAACTCTGCTTTCATGAATGTTAATGCACAGAGTTGCCTCTGCATAATGGGGCAATGCCAGCATGATAGATTTTTATATGTAATTTGAATTGAGGTGTACTTTTTATTTTCCATTTCATTTCTATTTTAATGTGTATTAATAGAAACATAAACAATAGTAACCAACAAAAAGAAAATCCATTAAAATATGAAGGTATGTCAGCACACTGATAGAGTAGAGGAGCAAGAGTCCTGCTGCTGGCACACTTGGAGCGTATGGCCCAAATGCTGATGTCTAATAGGAGAAGACGAGGAGCTTTTTTCCTGTGCGCTCTACACGCCTGGATTTCTCGGTAGTTCTTTTGAGTGTGCTGAGAGAGAGACTCTGGCCCCTGGAATACTTCTCTAAAGCCTTTGTGGAACTGAAGGAGTCTAAGATGCCTAATAAATTACTTCCTGCATTGCAGTAATAAGAAACCAATTAAGAAAACATGGTAGTTTTTGCTCCTTTCTAAAGACAGGAGATTTTTTTTCACAGGTTTGCAAAGTTCCTTGCGATACATTGCACCTGTTTAACTTGATATCTTTAACTGAAGTTATCCATCATCTGTCACTGCTTTAGTCTGGAGAGAATGCAGTCCTATCTGTGCATAGCAGAATAATGGGCATTGTCACCCGCCAAGACTTAACGGTATTGTGTGTTGAAATGAATGCATTCTCCCAGTTTTCATTTCTTTAAATTCAGTTCCATGTGAATTTAAGACCTGAGGGAGATTGGGAAGGAAAATGGGAGGATAAAGAAAGTGGAGCAGTTTTTGTTTAAAAGTAATTCTGAGCTTAAAAAGTGTGCGGGGAAATGTGCCAGAAAATGATTTTTTATGTTTTATCCTAAAATTAAAAATTGAGGCCACATAAAAAAAAAAATCCTAGAGTATTTTTGTCTTTTCTTTGATATAAAGTGACAAGAATGCTTCACTAGGATGTGACAACTACATTTTCAGTAGCTACTTCTGAGTTTTGAGAGTAGAGCTAAAAACGTAGTTTGGTGCAAATAATTTATTTGATGAGGTTAGGTTCTTCTTTGTCTTAAATGGCCACAAATAGGTGGATTCATTTCTTGAAAGTATTTGCTATGTGATTTTTGCATGTCAGTTGTGCATGAGTAATTTGATGTAAAATCTTTTAGAAATTTAATCTGTCTTTATTAGTTTTGACTGAAAACACAGATCACATGATAAGGTTTTCCATTCGTGATGTTAGTAGAACGCACATCAATATTTACTTTCAAAGAATATTCTCTAATAATCATTTATAGATGATTTTTCTATTAATACCTCTGTTGGTAAACAGCAATAGTCATAGAAACCAAATACAAAGCGCGTAGAAACATTGAATGTGGTATTACCACAAATATTTTCTTGGGAATGCATTTAATTTAGTCTCATATATATTACCTTTTTATTGTTACCACATATATATAATTGGCCTAAGGGAAGCAGCAGATACAGAAAGAGTAAACTGAATTAACAGACATTCTGACACCCTCTTTGCTTAAGTATTTTGCGCAAAATAACAAGAAATGCCTACAATGCAAGAATGTAAGAATGTAATCAACATATTTTTACAAAAATATGTACTCTTACTATGTACACTTGGGGTATCTCTTAGAATGTTCCTGAAGTTTTCAATGTATTTACTTTCTTATAATTATATTTCTACTGATACCTTAGTTTAGATTATACCAATTAAGATAACGTTCACACTATGTAGCTAAAGATGTTGCTTGATACCACAACAAAAAAGCAACAAATTAAAAATGATTTTTTCAGCAAATTATTTTCTGCTTTGCATTTCTTTTCTGAAAAACATGTTTTTGTAATGGTAAAGGGATACTATATATATCTGTGTTTTTCTCTGAATGACACTTACTTTGATTTACTACTATCCAATGAAGAAAAGTTTGTGTGTGTGTGTGGTGTTTTGTTTTGTTTTTTTACCTAACTGCAGACTGAGAATTGAACTAATACATATTTCTTAGATTGTAAGCTCTTGGGACTGAATTTATCACTTTTTGAACAGTAGAGCAGTACATTCAAATTGAAGGACACAAACATCCACAGTGTATGACCAATTTGACTTCTTACGTAAATTTTATTCTGTGGTCTTATTTTATTGCGTAATTCCTATATTGAGCCTACAGTGACCTGTAGTTGATCTGAAAAGAGTTTTCTGGAAAGACAGCTGATTTGGATTTAAATTTCTAAGTTGAGAGAAGTGTATTGTTTCTTGTTGTCATTTCAGTTCTTCTGATTGTTATAAACTCGGTAGAGAGTCACTAGTCTAAAAACAGTGGGGGCATAGATCAGTGATAGTTCTTATTATTGAAATGTAATAGGTTGCTGGGACAGAATTGTTGATTTTTTTTAATGGTAAGTAGTGCTGTGGCATAAACAAATCAAGAGAAACAGTGTGAGGTGTATGTAGTGAACAATTTCCATGACAGAAATACTGCACATGTTGAAGATGGGTTAGCATTCAGTTAACCAAGTGATTTGGATGAGTGAGTTACAGAGTAGCAGCACAACACTGTATTTTCAGTTTAATTTCACTTTTTTTTTCTAGCTGCTACTTTCAGTAGTTGGATCTTTTTATATCTTTGCTAGTTTAAAAATCCATATAGTATCAATTATCTTCTCCCTATGTGGGTACATAGTGACCAAGATCAAATCACCTTTTAACCTCATAACCTCTTTACCTTAAATCTCTGTGGGAGACATATTTGTCAGAACTTGAGTCACTTTTGTAGACTTCTTCTAAAGCTTTGGCAGTCGTGCTCACTTTTTGATTTCACAGTGATCTGGTAATGCATAGTTTTTGCCTCACCTGTGAAAAATAGTAGGTTTCCATTCACTGAACCTAATTTTCTTACAGACTGTGTGGTGAACCACCTTTTACAGCAAGCTTAGAAGAAAAGCTTTTTGAACTAATAAGAAAGGGAGACCTGTACTTTAAAAATACAGTTTGGGATACAGTTAGTGAGGCTGGTAAGTACACAATGCTCTCACCAAACAAATGCTGATAGTATTGCAAAGAATTCCACAAATGTAGTTTTGATCTCTTTTTTGCCTTTAAGTAGTGTGCCTTTTCTGAAAAGTGAAATTGATGCTAAGAAATAAATTCACATAAATGATATCATCAAATAATTTCATAGCATTGTAAGTAAAATATGCTGAATTAAAGCACTGCTTTGAAAGAAAGTGTGTTGAGTTGGTTATTGTTAACAGAAATGAGATATATCAAAGGATATTTTCTTTTTCCTAGCAAAACAAGTATTGAGACTACTTCTGAGAGTAGATCCTGCTCACCGAATCACAGCTAATGAATTACTTGACAACCAGTGGATAACAGTGAGTTTTCAGGAGTTATAATTTCTTCACCCTGTGCTCTACGCTTTACTTATTTGGCCTTCTATAGTGGTATAGATGCTATATTGCTTCTGTGAAATCCAGTGGAGTGAAAAAGGAGGGGGAAAAAAAAAAAAGAGCAACCTTTGGGGGCCTTATCTAAAGCCCTAAAATCCATTGGCATGTTTTGTTTGTATCACATGGGCTTCTGATCAGCCTGGTAACTAGCAAAAAGCTTTATACTGCATGACATCGAACCCTTACCCAGACCAGCTGCACCTGACTTGGCGTATGTTTTGACTTAATATGGAAATGTGGATTCAGGCCATGTTTAATTAATTCTCACAGCATTCCTGTAACTATAATAGTTTGTTGTTTCTTCCCCCTGCACCCTCCCAGTTTACACACAGAGGACTGAGCTACAGGGAAATCTGGCCATTTTGAAGGCAAGTGAATTGTAGTTCCAGAAGGGGACCTGTGAGTTCCTGCCTCCCTGGCTGCGGTGCCGAACACGGTGCTGTGAGAGTATTGAACTGTCAGCCGTTTGCTGAAACGGTTGCCCTGTTTTGCACTTCCTTGAGATTAAAACAGAAGGAATGGATATGTTTGCTACTTCAAGGTAACACGGATGATAATAAAGCTTAATTTCTCCTGTAGCTGGGTTCAATGCCATGTAGAAAGAGAAGTGTGTGTGAAAATATTCTGGTGTGTGGGAGGATAAATCTCTCTCTCTTTTTGAAAACGGACCACTGATTTTCCCTCACACCTTCAGCTACAAAAGAACCATTCTGGACTAGGAGACCCGTCTTTCTTCTTTCCTGCTAAATGACTACAGCTGAACAAAAAGCTTTTTCTCAGAGTTTCCATGCATCCTTGTGGGAAGGAAGAAAAGCCAGAAGCAAATACGATAACTCTAGAAAAGCTTGAAAAATGAGACAATGTTCATCTTAGTTCTGCTCTGCTGTACTATGAGTACCTTACTGTCCTTGCTTTGTTAAGCTGCAGGTGTGGAAAGCTACCATCCATGTGATTTTACAACCTACCACCACATATATTCCTGAAGTTTGAGAGTAAATTTCATAGGATAACATAACTGCATGTACAAGTAAAACAAAACCTTGCTATAATTCATAATAAACCATTCCTTCTCTTCATATTGTGTAGCAGTTCAGGCGCAGTAGATTTCAATTTAGTATGCTTTTCTTCAATTAAAAAGTAGGTTGTAGTTAACTATAAAATATCTACAAACTCAAGCCCATATTAATTCTTTCATTTGCACTTTCACAGTAAATGTACAACACCTTTAAAGAGTACTTTCAATGCAGAGCAATAATTTAGATTCTTCATCAAGTTTGGATGTTTACAGATGTTGAGGTGTTGCCATTGTAGACTGCTGACAGCATTCCCTTCCACTGGGGAGCACCCCCCAAAGTGTGAAGTTACGGACAGCGTCTGCAGACGTTCCTTGGTCAGAAGTGAATACAGTCAGAAAGGAGCTGTGGAAATACACTCAATCCATTTGTTCTTCCAGCTGCTCTACTCCTAGCACAATTTAAAGCTGTTACCTTAAGGGAGAACTTTGTGGACCAGACAGTGCCTCAGACAGTGATACTTCTTTCGCACCTCCAGTGTTTCCTCTTGCCGCAGAATTGCAAGGAGACATTTTGATCTCTAAATATCTCTGTGTTAGTGTTAGTTGACTTTCAGTGCCGTTTTAAGGCATAGGTTGCTGAGTCTCCAGTTTGAAAGGAGACATTGACAGCCGTCTGTCTGCCTGTGAGCAGTAGCTCCAGCCTGCTGTGAATGCCCTGTGTAGCTGATCAGCTCATGGATGGTATTTGATTGAACTTGCTCTGTGGGTTTCAGTACTGGCGCATGTGCACCTGCCATGCCTATGGCTTCCTTGTGTCCTCCTGTGGTTCCACTAATTTGCTTGAAAAATGGTTTCAGCTAACATGCCTGTTTTCTTAAATACAAAAGGGGCTTGTTTAGCACTTTAGTTATTAAATGCATTCCTGTCTCTGTTCAGTACTGAGACTTGCAATTTGTTTTTTTTTTATTAAACTTTTTGTTTAGTTCACATCAATTATTTGTTTTGTGTAAGGAGCTAAGAACATCAGAACGGTTGTACAAGTTGATATCAGAGTCTTTCTCATCTGTCTCTCATCTTCATCAGTGGACAAGAATAGATGCTTAGACAAGCATTCAGTGCTGGAATATTATACCAGCTTTCAGTCACTTGTTGGTTCAGAGACCAACCAAAGGACCAAAGGAGAGTGTTGGTAATAACATTCAGTTGACTTTTCTTTCACTAATTTGTTGAAATATATTTAAACTCATGTGAAAATTAACCTGTGGTAAAGCTGTCATTGGGCTGTCTGTGATGGAGAGTCTCTGCTGTTGTTTTGTGCCTTCCATCTACTTGTTTCAGTTGAAGCTCCCAGTTGACTTACTTGCTTTCTCCTGTGCTGCTTTTGATGTTCCTGCGTATTACTTATTGTGATGTTAGAAGTGATAATTAAATACTTTTTAATTTCTAGTAAGAAATTTAGATTTTTACAGGAGGGTAGAGAGAAGAAACAGGGACTTTAAGTGAGAAGTGACACTGGGCAGAATTGTCTAACCACTGTTCCTTAAGCTGCCTTAATGTGGCCTGGTTTTCAGAACCACTGAGCACCTGTGGCGCCCGCCACCTTTCAGTGCGAGTTGCTGATACTTGGTACCACTGAAAATCGGGACATCAGTTTCTACTGCGTGCATGTGCCTTCATAGCCTTTGTGATTTTACAATAGCCAGATGGGGAACATGAAAGTGCATTATCGTGTAGAGAATTCTGCGTGTAAAAAAATTAACCCCTTGGTGCCAAGTGACACATGAACTTCTGCATAGAAGGTAATGCATTTGGCACCGCAGTCTCCCACCAGGAAATCCGTACCATCTGTACCAAAAATGTATAAAGTCACAAGTTATTCTACATAATTAAAACTGACATTTCAAACATAGATGCAGCAGAACTTATTCCAGAACTCTACTTTAAAAATAAAATTTCTCGTTTAAAAATTACAGTGTACTTATAGCTAAACAAATGACCTCAAGCTCTGTTTTAGTTGGTGGCTACCTCTAGAGGTTTATGTGTTGTCAGTTTGAGACCACATATAGTTTTGGCTGGAGGCTATGCAAAGAGTTGATGATTAATTATTTACCAGAAATACTAATTAATGCAATTCTGTTACTAGTTTTGATTATTCTGAGCTTTATACCTGTTACAACTTTTCCAGACAAATTTAACTTTTTACAGCTGCTAAAAAGTAAAAGCAAAAAAGATGACGTGATAGCAGAATTTCGTTAAGAAAGACAGAAATTATATTCCCGCTAGCTGTTGTTTCTGCATAATCTACAGAACTGTTTTTACTTACTAAGTAAAACATTCATGAAGCCTAGGGTAAACCTTATTTTTCAATGAATTTTTATAGATGCATATATTTTGGTTTGATACTATAATTTCCAATATTTATTAAACTAGATATTTTAAAAAATGCTCTATTCCGTTTTTTCTACCTAATACTACATGTTGTATGGCTGTTGATATATTTTAGGAGGAAGAATGCTCTATCGTCTCCTTTGCTTCACTGCCCACAATAAAAATGTGATATTTTCTTGGGGCTGGTAAAACAGAAGATAGTGTTTCCACTCAGGTAGCAAGGCTGTTTGGTTTTTTTTTTTCCTCTCCTACTAGTTTTCTTCTTCCTGAAATAGCTTTTGAGCATGTTGAAGGTGAACTCTGATTTAGAATTTTTTGTTTATTGCTGTGATTTTTGGTGAAGTTTACAAGTATATGAATCTGCTTGACTGGAGAGTAAAAGCAAGACTCTGAATATAAAGTTTATGCATACAGTGAGATTTCTTGTTTCTTTGGGCGCAGATTGACATTTGCAACCAAACAAAACACCCAAAGACTAAATCCTTTGCTCCCTGGCTTATAATCCCAATTCAGCAGAAAGCATGTATGTGTACTCCTTTTTTGCGAGCTATTTAAGCAGGTTTCCAAAGTTATGCAAGGATTTTAAAAATTTGATCTAATGAAGTACTTGGGTGCCTGAGGATTCCTAGTGATTCTGAAAAGAAGTCTTAGGACTGTCCCTGTAACAAAGAAATCTCTTGTTTTTAAATTTTTGCAGCTGTCTGGAGGTGCATCTTTTTGCACACCTAGAGCTCCCTCCCTAGGTAGCACTAGGCAGCTCAGAGCCTAACTGCAGCAAAGCCTGATTAGGATTTAGAAACCGCAGATCTTCAGAAAATCACATGGCAGTCACTGATTTGATCCCCCTGCCAGCAGAACACAACTGATGAGTTTCTATACAGAATGTAATGAAAATCACGGCTCTCTCTCAACGGCTGGCAGAGAGACGATCCTTTTGCATGGAAGCCTCGTGGTCAGAGTATCTAAGGAAAATGCAGGAGTCCTAGCCTCAACATACAATACAGCTTTGCTAGAAGCAAAGGTAGACACTGGATGAGAGCACAGCGTTGTGTTTTTCTCCCTTGACTGATGTGATGATGAGTGGGTTGGATGACATACGAGAAGATCACTGTGCCTGCAGTATTTTTTGTGATTTTGTAGAGCATGCTTTTGAAAAGAGTGATAAGGACTAAAATACTAAGAACACAAGGGGATTTAATCTCTCACATGCACCTTAGCTCTGTACAAAATAAGGATCTTGAAACAAGTTCAACGTTTTTGCTTCCAGTAAAATAATACATTCTGTTGTCATATCTCAATAAAATAAAAAGCAATTGCATGATGCACTCCACAATCTTTTTCTAATACAAAAGTTCCCGTTTTGTTTTTACAGTCTATAATTACTTGTTGGTGTATTGCTATCCTTGTAACTTCATTCCATCCTAGTTATCTTATGTTTAAATTTTCCATTTCTGTGGATCAGAATCACCTTTTTAAATTGACAATTGTACTCAAGATTTCTCTAAACTAAATAAAGAACATTTGTCTTTAGCTTTGTTCTGAACAGGAAAAATCAAGAAAGCAGGCAAGACAGGTGCTCCATTTTGCCCTGTCTGTAGTTGCATTGTTTTTTTTTTTTTTTTTTCCCCCCAAATCTAAGACCTTTTGGTATGTGTCAAGACTTTTCTCTGCCTCTGCCAGCTTTCCTCATGACATCAGTAGCATTTTTGAATTTTTTTTAAGATATCTTGTTCTTCCATTTCTTGTGTATCACACCTAATTTGAAGGCTCTTCTATTTACCTTTATAATATTTTAATTACTTCAGTAGCATGTTTATTTGATTACGAATGTCAGATAACGAATCAAGAATTAACAGTTTTGTTGCATGTTCTCAGTTTACCTGTGTTACCTAAAATCTTTTTTCCCTAATACTGTTAGCCAACTTTTGGCCCTTAATGTAGCACCTAAAATACTCTGGGCTAACACTCTGAACAGCTCTTGGAAGTGATCACTTCAGCCTGTCCTCCTTGATGTTTTTCAGTTGTGAATGTGCCACTGCGATTAACAAAATGGTGATGCTTCTCAAACTGAAACTTTGTGTATTTCTAGGAATTTTAGAAGGGTTTGAGGAGAAAATACTTCACAATGTTTTCCATGAGTAGTTGGACATCTCTGCATTTCTGTCTGGAATCCTTCTAAAATTTGCGTCCTAAAAATTGAGCAGAAAAACACTGAAATGGAAACAAAAGAAACTGAAACAATATAGTCTGTCAGTTAGTAAACCTCCATCCTTTTACCCGCAGTTGGAGCAGATGCTAGTGAATTAAACTCAACAGGTGTTCCAATGAGCCAGTGCAGATAATTAACTTAAATGGTTCTATTTTCTTGAAAACTGTCAGGAAATAAACTCCCTCTTTCCTTTTATGTGGTATACAATTCTCTGGTGCTCTGTAAGGCCTAGGTCTTTTTAAAAGGCCTAAACTCACTCCCTCATTTTGTGGGAACAATTCACTGCACTCTACATATTTGTCTACATAATTGTTCTTGCAAAAGAGGTAGTTAAAATCTGTGTCATCAGTTTTGCCCGCAGTTATCATAATTGCAAACGTAAATTTGCATCTGCAAAATATGAGTTTGTTTTTTAAAATCAAACGCTACCTTTCTAATGGAAATGAATGTTTCTTCCTTGATCATTTGGTACATATATGTGTAGAGCCGTCTATTTCAAACAAAGGAAATATTTTGTAAGTACCAGTCCTTAAGTAAAAGAAATCCAGATCTAGGTTTGAAGTAAGAAATGCTGGGCTAGTAATAAGATGGGGGAAGGAGCTCTGAAATAATGTCTTCTGTCTGTGCCCTCCTTCCTCTGTTGGATCCACCGTATAACCTCAGAAAAGGCCACATTAATTCTGTTTTCTATGATGCAGTTTACCAGTCTGTACAGTGCAGATAACGAACCATCTAGTAACTGTATAGTTAGAAAACTATCCCTGCTGTTAGTGAAATGCTCTGAGATCCTCAGAAGATTGGTGTCAATAATGCAAATCGTTATGCCTTAAAAATAATTAACAGGCCAACTCTAGCATTGAGAACAAACTTTGCATGTACTATGCGCTTTCCTTTCTCTCCAAACTTTCAGACACGTAATTGCCAGCTTTCCTGAATGACCAAAGGAGTCAAACAAAAATTATTTCAAATCGTACAGTGAGAACTGAGAGGACAGGAGCCCAGCAAGTCTAACAAAAAGTGTTGCTTGTGTGAATTTTTTTATTCTGAACCCATAGATTGATTCACTGCCCATTCCAGATTAGGCTAAGTAAAATGGGAGTGTTGTATAGACAATATTCGCATGCCCTATAGCATAAAGAAATACTGATGGATGCAGAAACATGGGCAGCCAAGCTCTGGCCCTTTGGTTTTGTTGTTATTGTGGTTGTTACAGAATGAGCCAGGAAGAATTTGGGGTAAAAATTCCTTTGCAAATTTTTGGGATCTATAGTTGCGGGAGTTGTAGGGGAAAGATCATCTTTCCTCCAAACTAGTAAAGAGATAGGATGTTACAACTGCAGAAGACATGATCAGCATTTGGAAAACACTTTTTGTTTTTGAGTGTGGATTAAAGTGCTTGGCTTATAACAAGTAGGGCCACTATACTGGCTTTACTTTTTTAATAATATGCCCTAGATTCAGTGGAGTCAAATATTAATAAAATCTGTTCTTATGTCTAGGGTGAAACACATGCTGTTCAGAGACCTTGTAACGTCTTGGAGTTGATGAAGGAATGGAATAATACTCTGGACATTGGTGAAGTATGCAGTGTGGAAGAAGAATCAAATAACCTAGCTAGTACATGCCAACAAGATGAAGTCAGTGAAGCACAAGAAAGCCCTACCAGTAACAATGGTAACGTAAAATGTGGTGCAGAAACTGAAACAGAGAATGGGGGCAATAAATCCTCCACATCAGCAAAACAGGTAAGGCTGAATGCAGTATTTTAAAAATACAAGGCAAAGTAAGTGATAAGTAGAATTAAGAGTGAATTAGGAAATGTTGGGCAGGACCTGATGCAAGGGACAGCTGCTGGTGTCTGGTGAAACATTTATATGTAGTATAAGAATAGAAATAAATAATAGGATGTGGGGTGAAGCCTCCACCGTACAGTATCATTTAAGTCCTGTGTACTTCAAGAAACCACATTGACCCAGAATACCAAGTCCATAACACGTAATGGCTCCTGTTCATTCTCTTCAGGTGTAGGTGTATGTTTGTAGGAACATGACAGAAAAAGGTAGGATCTTAAGACAGCAATATTCAGGGGCAATGAAGAGGAATCTTTTATAGGTAGCCCATTTTTCCATACACATTCCCGCTGAATAATATAAGTAGCCATCTTGGGATGCTGGGGGGGGGGGGGGGAAAAATTGTTCATAAGCAACAAATATATAAGCCACTATTAATACCAAAGTCCAAGGTTTAATATTTGGGATAGTGATATGATTTCTTTAGGCATTTGCCCAAGATACTGAATTTTCTTTTATAGTGCCTCTCTCAATCCTTCAGCTGAAGCAAAGAAAAACCATAACGAAAATACTAAGGATTCTGCATTAGCTGTGACCTCTAAGGCTCTCAGATTGATCAGTCACAAGGCAGCAAGCTGCGCCACAGGCTGAAGGCATCATTGTTAATATTTGATGGGTTCTGCTTTCAAAATGGGTCTACTTAGCAAAGAATGAGCTTCTGATATGAAGTAACAAAACGTATTTATTATAGCTGAGTAGTACTGTGTGAATTAGAAGTGAGGGGTATATAAGCCAAAAAAAAAAAAAAAGCTTAAATGCGCTATAGATGTCAGAATCAAAATCACAGTTCTGGAAATTCTGTTACGTGGCCACTCTAACTGGAGATACCAAAACGGCATTCTTCGCTTTCAGCTTCCTTGGGCAACCAGATTTTTTCTGCTAAGCCTGCCTGGAAGTGTCTAGCCTTGGCAGGGGGACGTTCTTCTACCAACGCCCCTTTGAAGGGCTAGGTCAGGGAGTGTTTCCAGACTGTAATAGAGTAAGAGTTGTATACAACATATTGAAAACTACCTTTTCTTAGAGATAGGCCCTGAGGAGGTAGAGGTGGCGATACTAGTGCTACTGCTCTCTTCTGTGCTAGCCTAGACATGGGATATGAGTTGGCCAGGACTTCAGTTTCCTCTTCTTTCTGAGCATGCTGCCTGCAGGCACTTCCTTTCTCAGTGAGGGCTATTCTGGGTATCCTTCAGTGAACCCTGGCGCTCCTTCCATAGAGAGAGGCCAAAAGCTGTGTTTTGAATTCCACTGCATGGACCACGCACATTCAAAGAAATTATGGTAGTGCTTGTGTTTTACGGTGTTCTTTTATTCAAGTTTGCTTATCTTTCCCCTCTCTTCCTCCTTTCCCACACAAGATAAAGGCAGGACTTGGCACAAAGCTTTTCACAGAATGGGGGAAAAAAATCTTTGTATACCCAAAACTGCAGCACAGCTGTATGGAGATAAAGCTATAATTGCTCCTGCTAACAAGTTATCAGTTGGGTCACAGTGCTTAGCAGAAGACTTGGCATAAGATGTCTCCCTGAGAGCACTATTTCCTTCCAAATCAGTTACATAGGAAGTCTTAGAGACATTGTGCAGAACTGATCTTCCCAAATGCTGGTCTCTTTTTTTGTCTGTCAAGCCAAATAGACAAAACTCGAGAATGTATGAAACTCCTTACAGGGTCAGATCATCTAACTTAGTGCTCCAGCTCTGACAGTGACAACATGAAATGCTATTTAGGGAGAATGTGCAAGCCCAGCCGTTTCCTCCTGGGTAGTGACCTGGCATCCAGAATTGTTCTTAGTGTTGTTAGAAGGTACATCCCAACCTAATCCTTTTAGTATTCATTATGGACCTGTTGTCAATGAACGTGTCTAGTTCCTTTTTGAGTATGCTGGTACCATCTGCCTCTACAGCTGCCCATGGCTGCAAGATCCAGAAATGCACTACTTTCTGCGTAAAAATACTTTTCTTTCCCTGTTTTAAACTGATCTGCTACTAGTTTCATCAAATATCCCTTAGTTCTGGAAGTACAGTATTTGGTGAACAGCTCATAATCATAATTAAGCAAAATCTCAGTCTTATCCTTCCTCAGTCACCATCTTGACAAATGGAAGAGTTCCAGCCTTTTAATGTCTCCTCATATATGGGTGCTCCATCACTTTGATAATGGCCGTTCTCTATGCCTCTTCTAACTCCACTGTCCTTCCTGAGACTTGGAGACCAGAACTGCACAGAGTGTTAAAGATACATATGCACCAAGGTTTTATATGTTACCAAAGTGGTATGTACTGTCTTGTTCTCGATACCCATCTCAACAGTGCTGAGTATTTTGTTGGCTTTTTGGCTACCACTTCTTGTGCAGCCAGTGGTTCCAGAGAAGAGTCAGTGCTCAAGATCACTTTCCCAGTGTTGTAACTCTAGCTGCCAGTTCTGAACTGAGGATCATGTCGATCTGCTTTAGATTATTTTCCTCTGAATGCTTTATTTTTTTTTCTTCCTTTTTTTTCCTGGAGCCTGTTTCTCTGTGTTCTGCAATGGAGAAGGAATATGATTTTGCCCAAGGAAAAAGTGTGCTTAGCACGTTTCCAGGAGCTTAGCTGTGTAAGAATTTTACTGATGATGAACATACAGATGTTGTCACTTACCTGGACTGTTCCTTTCCCCCGAATAGAGCCATGTTCACAATTACTTCATTGATGCAAGTTTCTCTAGGGCCTTTTTAAGCCTCCAAAGTATATCAGCTTATTGCTTCAGCCCCTTCAGTCTTGTTTCACAGATCAGCAAGAAAAAAAGTAGCATACCTGTTTTACCAAATGGAACACTGAGAAAGAAGAATATGACCCTCAAGACTGCCAGTGCTGTGAGTAGTTTCTCAAGTGCCCTTGCTAACGCTTTATGGAAAGATTTTTTTTTTTAATTAAGAGATAAAGTAATGTGTAATGAAAGACAAGTTGTCATATTTTCCTGGTAGAATATTGTTTAGCATTCAGGCAGGAAACAGAATGCTGAGGACCTGCTATTTCCCTTTGAGGTGACGGGGGCTTAGATATTTGGGTTTCCACCTGTAGATTTAGGAGCATGTTTTTAAGCTTCAAAAATATGAGACTACTTAATCTGTTAGTAGGAGAAAAGGAAGGACCTTCCACTTTCCTTCCACTTTCTGTCCTTCCACTTGCCTTTTCTGAAGGGAAAAAAGGCTTAGCTCTTCAGCATAAATCATTATTATGCTACTAAAATTGCTGGTTCTTATCAGTTAAAGATATGTACCCAGGAATATTCAGCTGTTTTGCTAGATTTGTCTGGTTTTCCAAAGTAATAAATTTTACAGCAAGATGAGTAACTTGTAAACCAGAGAATAAGTCTTGGCCCAATTAAGACCATTGGTGGGCTCATATATAGCCCACTACAAAACAGACCAGAGAAACAGCTACCAAGGAGCAACCTCGTATTTATGAAAGATGAAGATACAGTTTAAAATTGTATTTGAATATTGTGATGAATTAATAACTGTGATCTTGATTCAGAAGCCTAGCTAGTGAAGATTAAAATCAGAGATATAGTCATATACAGTTAAAACAAGAAAGTTCATCTCCTAGAGATGGGATTTAAAATTTAAAGGTAAGAAGCTTCTCTCTGTGTACCGTAAAGGGAGATTAAAAATATCTTTTAAAATGCAGTTCTTTTATTCCTTTATATCTTATTTTTACATATTTTTATGATGTATACTGCAGCGGAGCAAAACTGGCATAGTATTTTATAATTATTCTCTGTTGTGCTACATTGTTCGTATTTTTGTTATTCCCACCTTTCTAGTGAGTATAAAAAGATGTAGTCTTTAATTGTATTGTTTTAACTTATAGTCCCCTGCAGGTAGGTCAACATCTCCAGTATCAATTTCAAAGCGGAATCTGGAGTGCCAAGAGAAGAAGGGAGAATTGGACAAGTCCATAGGGCCTTCAACCCAGGGACTGGGAAGTAAAAACATACAGAAGCCTGCTGTCACACCCGGAACCAAAAAGAAATCATAGGACATCCATCAACTCTGAATGGCTTCAGAGTGAACAACTATTACTTGTGCCAAAATGAGCAGACTTTATAAGGACGGACAACTATATCCTGAACTGTTTGTCTTTTTACTTTCCTGAACCCTTTAATCAGAAAGCTTTAGCTTTCCTTTAACACTGAAGAAAATCTAACAGCAGTGTGAACTCCTAACCTGTAAGAGGGCATCCACTGATAGTATTTTTGTCAGAGTACAAATTACAGAATTGTCTAAAACTGTATGTAATTTATTTGTTCTCTGCTAACAGGCCCCATGCCAGGTAGGCAGTTTGCTTTCACAAATCCATTTTCCTATGTTTTACTTGCATCTACTTTCTTCGGTTTTGTCCCAAACATTTAAGGGGAAAAATGAGGCCAGAATCTGTAATAGGGATTCCTGATAACTGTGTGCTTTACACCATGAGAATATTCTAGGAAATTGCTTATAAATTTGCTCTAGGCGCTACAGCTCAAGTGCTTCAGTCTGGAATTTGTTCCTGCTATTTTAGGTTGCTGTCAATTGCTTATTTTTAGGCAGAACTTATTTTAAGCTTGACAAATGGGAGACGTGTTTTTAAGTACAATGGAATTGCTGTGGTTCTCACTACTGAATTTCTGGTGTTTTGATTACATTCTTTAAATAAAACAGGTGTTAGAATTAATGGCCTTTACAAGTTAGTTAATCTTCATTTTCAAAAGGATGAGCTACTGTTAAGCTTAGGTTTATTGTACATATGCACAAAATGCAACGTGATTTACTGTTCCAAAGACAACACCTTTCTCTAAAGACGGGTCTTACTGGTAGACTGGCATTGTGGTGCATTATGTGAGCAAAGTGTACATACTCTTCTTAGTGGGTTAAAAACAATTTCCTTCAATATATGTACATTCTGTGTTATGTGTTATTCCAGTAATTCTGCTGAGAACATCAGTCTGAGGAGACACCAACTGCTCAGATCTCTTCCTTTCTCCACAATAATCTTAGAGTTCCTCTTACAGTTGTTACAGCCTTGATTTTATTTAAATGTGAAGTAATTTTATTAAAAAACCAAATTCTTTCTCTGAAGATACCTGAAAACTTGGAGAGATCTTGTGTACAATAAACTAATTAAGAGCTTTTTGAGAAGATGTAATATTAAAAGGATAATATATCACTCTCTCTCTCACTGAAGAACGTGTGTGTAAGCAGGCACCTTTTTGGAATATTAATCTTCTAGTTTGTGTTTTTCACCTTGTAAAATGCAGCAAGTTTAAGAAGGTCACAAACTTCTATACTTTTCTGACTGAATGGAGTAAGAATTTCACTTCAAGCAGAAAGTTGTCCTTTTCTTTTTGTTGTGTGCTCACACAGCAGCTAAGTCTGCTTCACAGACTAGCTCTAATAGTCGCACTGTTTTTATTTGAAGTGGATTGTATCTTTTACAAAGTCCAGACTGCTTTCTGGTTCTCATGAAACCAAAATGTTAGGTCAGATTGCGGCCTAAATAACTATCTCCTCGGCTATTAACCGACTGCTCATTCTTTTCATTTAGCGAGACAGCCACTCGAAGGGCATGGCTGGACTCACTCTATTAGAACGGCGGCTGCATCGTTAGCCAACCTCAGGGCAATCCCACCGGATCGCTGTAGCTGCAGAGCAGCAAAGTGCTTTCCCTGATGTGGGACAGTGCTGACGGTGCAGGTATCCTCTTTTCAGAGGCACTCTTTTCTAGCACAGATGAAGTTTTTAGAAGCCCAGCAGACATGCTGAGATGCACCACTGCTCTTTTTTTAACTAAGGAAGCTTGAAAGCATACTGCTTCACATCACAGGGTTATGTCATTTTTACAGTACTAGCAGAATACACTAAGTATCATTTACCTGTAGAGAGTGAGTTATTTACTTGTTGTGGGTGCATTCTTCTATCCTGAGGCATTACATCTTTTTCAGTAGATCTTAGGATATTTGAGCTTAGAACGCACCTTTTGTGGCCTGCTCCTCAACAGACTTGACTTTGATCTCACCTATTCTGATTTCACTCGCCTTCCCTGCCTTCTCTGCAGTTCTGGATTTGATTCGTATGTTGTTCTTTCCTTCCACAGCTTCCTCTTTCTTTTCTGCCACAGACCAGATGTGTGCCCCAGTCCCATCTTTGTCCGTCCCAGTGTGTCCTGTGCAGGCACAGGCTTGTCGGGCTGCGGTGGGAGAGTGCTACAGGCTGCCAGAAGGGTTCCTGCGGCTGTAGCCGGCCTCCTGCCGGTGCCGGACTTCTTCGGGGAAGGTCGGTGCGAGAAAGCTCTGCAGCAGTGCTGCCCCGGGGCCTGGAGCCTCCCTGCCGCTGCAGTTCCCAAAGAGGCAATGGTTCTTCCCAAAGGTTGTAGAATAAACTTGCATTATCTCAGTGACTGCTAGCATTAAACCTCTTGTTAAACAAAACAGAGCTCTTAGAATAAGCTCCATGCATTTTTCCTTTTTCTTCCTTATCCTTTTCTTTATGCCTTTTTTCACCCCTTTTCAATGCCTACATTTTCTCTGTTGATTTTTTTTTCATTTATCAAAAGATTTTTGTTCTTCTTCCGCAAATCTCTTTCTTGTTTCTCCTTTTGATGTGGCTTTTCTCTGTGTTTGCCTTTCAACCCTCAGAGCTTACTTTAGTCTCTTCACTGTATTTGCTACATGGAGGAGCCCTATTTAAAAATTAAAAGTAGATTGCATGGGAATTTCATATTTCTCCTTGTCCTCTAGGACCTCATTTCTCTTCCCTCCTATTTCTATGAAGTTTACCACCCTCAAATGCTCCCTTCTCGACTTCCACATCATGTTACTTATCTTTCTCTCTCTTGCTCTGTCCTTCCACTTAATCTTCCCCTTCACTTATTGTTGCCTGATATTTAAATTCTAAGGTAGAATAAGAATCCATGAGAGCATTCAGATTACCCTGCTGGGCATAAATACTCCGATCTGTAGCCCAGCTTTACTGACAAACACTACCTTTCTGACTGCATCTCTACTGGCTTTTTCTTTCAGTTTTTCTATCACACGCTCCATAGCAGTAGTTGGTACTATTAACGATAGCATCCATATTATAAGCACAGTCTTGTATAACCCATTACAGGTCAGGTCTATATGACATTGTAATTTAAATGATGGTGGCTCCTGGCAGCCCATCTTTGCTTGTCCTCCTATTATTACAACCACCAATAGAGCTGTTCTACGGGGAAATTTCAAGTGTAGACAAAGCTTTAATCAACAGTAATCCGATCCTTTAAAAATGCAACACCAATTCATTTATTTCTCATTTCACATATGAAATTTTAATAGGTACAATCACCCTTAAGGATGTTTCAAATATTAACATTATGCACAATTACAAAACAAAACCTTTTTTCTGTATGAAACTATCAGCATCTTTGAACCAAGTAAGTAGTTTTCTGTGCTGACATCAGGTTTACTATCAATCAGAAACTTATTAACAGCTGTGTTAGCCCTAATTAAGTGCAGAGCAATGGCAGACTTTTTAATTAAGTCTTATTTTCCTAAGAGGAGACTGACTGGTGTTTTTCTCCCCTTCTCTTCCCCACCTCCATCCTTATTTACTGTGTAAAGCAGGCATTACAAATAACTGGGACACAAGATGGGGCCATTGACAGGGGGCCAAAGACACCAGAAAATTTTTCCTTTCCAGAATGGCTGCATGATTATACTTGGCGTAGTTTATCCATTTGACTTTTAAAATAATTCCAGAAATGTTGAGTGCTTCTGCAGTGCTTTTCATTTGGATTTTTTTTTAAATTCTCATCTTGTTTGAGGTATATTTACTATCTTGTCACAGTGTCAGCAGAACTATTATTGAAATTAATTTTGGTGTATAAATTAATTTGCGAGAAAGTGGTGACCCATGACACCATGTGCACCAAATAATGTGCTTGTTGCCCGAGTATTCCTCTAGGCATATGCTAGAAAACGTGCCACATGTGAATGGAGAACCCGGCTGTTAGGAGAAAGAACAGGCCTCACAGGCAAGTCGAAATTTAACTCTCCTTAGCGGCTCTGAGAGGCACGTGCATGCTCCTGAGGCAGAGATACAAGTACCTTGAAAATGCTCTTAATCTGCGCTTTCTGCCTGGCGCTACTGAAACTGGGATCTTCTTTAGCAAACCGCAAACAATTGTGGATGGTTGTTTTGCTCACAGAATAAGCAGTGTGGTTCGTCTGAGACAGCAAACTAATCTCGTACTGCTCCTGACAGGGTAACATCAAGCATGAACGTTTTTATTCACCATTACAGGTATAAAAATGCATTTACCTGAGCTGAGTTCAGTTTATATTTTAACTGCAGACACAAGATGACTCGGGGCAGATCCTGACTGTGCTCTGCTGACAGTTTACACCAAGGATTGCAGTGAAATGCTGCCAGTTTACACTGGGTGAGGATCTGTCCCTCGTGGTTTAACAAGAAAGTAGGGTCAGCCAGACTGAGTTTTGGCACAGTACGTGATACGAATTTAAGGGTTCGTTTCAGGCACAGAGCTGCTGAGTTTGCTTTTGCGCTTTTCACATAGCAGACTCTTTTCCTTTCAGCAAAGTGGTTGGCAGGAAGAACCCAACATTTTCCTGGAAAGGACTGCTCTACGAGTCTTCATTCATAAGCAAAAAAAAAAAAAAAGAAAGAAAGAAAAAAAATTAACTGCCTGCCAGTTTAGATAAAGCCACAGGCCAGCGAGTTCAAAAGAAGCAGCAGCTCACTGGAGCCTAAAAGCCATATGAACTAATGGTATTGCCTGGCCAGTGTTAACACGGTGAGCTCTTGGGGGCTTGAATGGTCATTTTCTAAGAGTATACAGAGCGCCTGTTGCAACCTGAACTGGCCTGAGCCCAAGGCGCTGATGCAATGTAAGTGCCGAGGACAGTAAACTCTCAGTAATAGCTGTGATGGTCAGCAGCAGCTTTAAAATACTATGTCTCAATTACGGCAGTAAAACTGGGTCTAGATATAGCAGCTCTCCATTATGGGCATGAAAGTATGGCCTAATTGTCTGTAATACATTGTTCAATGGGGATTACAAGGGCAACACTGTATAAATCCTGCCTTGTGAAGCAAACTAGTTCATTTTTCTCAGCTATGCATTCTGTGGTGTTCCTGTCTTATTTCCAGCATGGGTCTGTATTTTTAGAAGTTTCTGTCTAGTAATTCTTACGGTGGTGTATTCTGTTTCATTACTGTTTATACATTGTCTGGATAGTAAACCTTAATCCAAATTTGAATCTAATCCCACTTTTGTTTCCAGGAAAAAAAGCAGCTCAATAAAAAAAATAACGCTCAAGCATATTTAAAAAGAGAATAGGTTTATTTGTAATGTTTATGGATCATTTTCATACTCACATTATCTTGACTACATTGGCCCTGTGTGCTTCAGGAGTGTCCACGTTTGATTACTTTCATAAAAAGCAGAATAGGCTCATGAATTTCTTTTGCTTCTGCCCTCTGTCTCTCATCTACTTACATGAGGTTCAGTTTCACAGTGGAAGAAATGTTTGTGTCCTCTGAAGACTAATTGAAAAAATGCCATTATAGTTCTTTTCGTGGCAATAGCAATAATAGGTCAAGGTGGGGTCGTTGACTTCCAAACATGGTGATGCCCTGGACCAGGCTGGTACCAGAGGCTGAGCACGTGCTAGCAGT